TTTTAGGTTTTTAAACTGAAATTCAATGAATATCATCATCCGAACTGTTTCGGATTATCGTTTTAAATATTCACAATGTAAGTATTGATCTAAAGACAAGGACAAGGAATGTATGATTGTGTCAGTGTTTGAAGACAAACCGTTTAGATATCGATGCGGTTTGACCGAGCGCGAGCGCGAGTACCTCGTATAAATGCAAATCAGCCGATTGTACTCTTGCCTTGATTAATTTAAAACATTTACCAGTACCCTCTTAGCCTTAGCGGCTGCTTTTTAGTTTCACTAAAGCTGCTATTTATTTAAGCGACAGCGAAATATTTTTTTGCAAATAATAACGTCTAAGCCTTTCAATATTTGATGGCAACACAAACGTCGCCTTTTGACTTCTTTGTCACACCATTCATACAATATTTATCGTTAGTGTAACAAAGAAATTCCATTTTGGGGCAAATGCGCAAATAGTTCGACGTTTGAATTTCCCTTGTGTAAATGTTATTACAGTACGTTCCGTTAGTGTGTTGCAGGTGAAACATTCCGCAATAACAGGCAAGTCGGTGCCTTGACAAAGTGGGATTGCCATATAATGCCGGGTCCCGGCGAGGAAGCTCCGCGCCGCGTGCCCCGCGCTGCCTTGTCTTCACAATACATTTGCATATGCGAAAGATGGTAAATCTTTGATCGGCATGACTGCAATTCCACTTGAAAACAAAAATCTTTGAACAACACTCTAAGTTAAATTTGTTCCGAAATGTAATTATGTTTTAATATACTCCAGGCTTACCCACGTTCGTTTCAGTCACCTGAGCAGGCAGGATTTTTTCGAAAACAAAATTAACTAAGTTACTTGGCTAAGTAAGACTGATAGATATTTGTGCTTAGAGAGAGCGGGGAAGTGCTGTGATTGACATATTATTAATGATGCTTTGTAATTTGTTTACTTAAAATATTAGGTAGGTAGATATGAATTGATTTTTTCTTTAAGTCTTTTGAGTTAAGGTAACTGCTTGTGTATCTAGTTTATTTTTGCAAAGCTATTTATTTGTATATACATAAATAGTAAAATAATACCCAACAAATAGCGGTTATACTTCTTGAAATTATGTGAAGTTAATTTCAATAACTACGTGTTTTAATCACCTAACGCTTTAAATTTTACATTTCCAACCTAGTTAAATACAAGTACTTTTACAAATTTAAAAACTTAAGCATAATATATGAAAGCGATTTTGAAAGGAGCTAACAGGGAGATAACGAGAAAAAATAATCCGTGTGTCGTTTCCTCTTCATTCTTGGTCGAGCCGTGAGATTATCACGCACCCTGTGATTATAATTAAGCGACACCAGCCGTGGAAAAAGTGGCAAGAATAAAATTAAAATTACATTTTGCGCGTCTTCATTATACTTTTATACCTCAGGAAAATATTCCACCTTTATTTTCGTGTTGTTACATGTATTACTGCAGCCATCCCATAAACATTTATTTACGCATTTCATTTAGCATTAAAAAAATCACTGTTTCTTTATTAAATTTATGATTTGCATTTTCAAACATAAATGTATACTTTAAAGAAAATTCTTATGTGAAATTTCAGAAGTTTTAAATTAAATTTTTGTAAAATAAAAAGTTAGTAAAAGATTAAGTGATAAGTGATATTAAACCTTGAATAGTTTTTTTCACTTTGATTTTAGTAATTGCCAGCAGTTTTTGTTTTTTAACACGGAGTTTATCTCCAAAACAAACTTATTTTAGGTTCTAAAACAATAGGAATAATTACAAAAATATTATTTTTGTAATTATTCTAAATCCTAAAACCTAAAAAAACACTGAAAAAATATAGCGTTACAACGTCCAAAAACTTGGATAAAATTTATGTTTTTTTTTAGAAAGTATATCTGGTATCCCTATAATACCTATTAAATAGATTTGAAGATGCATAGGCCTTTAAGCTTATGGCTTATGTATATATGCTTATCTTTTTGGCTTCGATGATAAATGAAGATCCCTGACATATATTTATATATGAGTAGAATTCTCCCTGACATATATTTAACAGTTTTATATACACACAGTGGGTACAGTCAGCATCGGGTATTACGTAAATACTGGTTGCAGACAGGTATCGCGGCCAGGTGGCTTTAACAGCCGTATTTATCATCCTCGTACCAACTCCCGAAATGCTCCTATTTATCACAAATTTGATATTTATCTACTGTTTCTTGTATTGTAAACACTATGTTGTTTTTAAAGAGCATATATATATTTGTTTTAATATTTCGTCATCCGTTGCTGGCCACATTCACATACATTGTGTAGGTAATATACTTTTTTGCAGTTAAAACAATTTGTTTAAGTGTGAGCAAAAAAACCAATAAATAATTTAATTAAACACAAGAAATTAATTTAAAAAAGAATTAAACACGCAAAAGGTTGAGGTGTATCAAACACTCATGGTTTCTTACAGAACAACGACAGAAGGCGTTCTGTCCACAACTAGTGAGTATAAAGGTCGTTTTGTTCGTCGAAGTTTTTATACTGTGTACGGCTGGTCACATAACGAGCACCTGCGGCCTCATCTACATAATGTGGACAAGTCGATGAACTCGAGCTGGACACTTTCTGCTTCACCCGAAACTTGCCATCTCCTGCCAGAATCTTATTTCTAAATAAGCATACAATGTTTTGGTTTGAGCTCCGTCTCAAACCAAAACATTGTATATACATACATACATATATCTAAATATCCAACAGAAAAATGATAACCAACAAAGAAAGCCATAATGTCAAAAAACTAAAGTAGACACATAAAACTGAATATGAAAAGGATAAAACGATCCCAAGCATTACAAATAGATATTATCTTTATTTATAATCCCAATAAAAAAGGAAGACGAAAACAAAAAACTGTGAAACATATGTGCATGTCGTGGGTAATGGGAGGTGATCTGATAAAACGGCAGGCCGTGATGCTGTAGGGAACGCATTTAAAAGGTATCCGGAGAGTCGTAAAGAAAGTTGTGCCCTTAGCGACAAATGAAACAACGGGGAAAACGGAAACTTGTAACATTCCACAACAAACGTAATAGTCGACTCGTTGGGGTTATGCTAACATCACTCCATCACCGAAATACGATTGGGTTTCTTTAAAACTGTTTTATACAAACTGTCTTTGACACTCCGCAAATGTTGCGTTGGATACCTACATTTTATTGCGCAAAAAATTGGATGAACAAACGAAAATCAAAATGCGTACAAATATTTGCTCTCGATTGTATTTTGTTTATTGAGTCGTAACTAAAAAAAGTGGCATGAAATAAATGTTACAGTAAGACGGCGACGGTAACAGTCGACAACTCCTTTATGTCATAGAATAAAGTAAACAAATAAAACTCAGTGTGAACGAATGCGTCCAGGAGCATGTTTCCTTTGCACTGTGAGTGTTGCGTTATTATTAGCACAAGATCCAATTTACATAGAGATATAAACATATATATTAACACTCAGTAACTGCAATTATCTAATATATTACCTGGATCTTCGCATTTATCGGATTACAGGGACATGACCTTTGATTGGGCGTCGTTGTTATGTAAAGCGTGAATTGTGTACTAATGTAATACGTATTACTACCATGTAAGGGATCAAAGTCTAAAGGACTTCGTCTTTACTCTATTTACCCATACTTTGTCATGAATATTCTAAAATTGTAACGAACTTAAAAGAGCACGAGTTAGCTAATTACTCAAACAACTAAAGCTGCACAGTATTGAATCGAGGACGTGTAGCAAGTAAGCAAAATTCTAAAGATGCAATCCTAATGTTGCCCCTCGTTAACAGCGCGGGGAAAAAAGCGACAGAAACAAAACGTTGTCGTTGCGGTTTCAATTAGGGTGGTCGGCGGGCAGCTCTAATTACCGAGGACGCGGCGCGGTGCGGTGCGGCGTAGTGTGTGGTGCGATGGTGCTGCCGTCGACTGCTACGCGAACCACGCGACTCGCCGCGATCCGTTGCGGTACTACTCTAATCACTCGCTTGGGATTTTAACCCGAACAGATATTTTGGAATTAACTCTTTTATGATATTTCGATTCTGCTCTATGATCTAGCAGGTATGCTGTAGAGTATTGCCTATATATACGTTTGTTATTTAACGTAAGATCGATTTTTATTACGTTAACATAGAACGAAACCTTAAGTTAAAGTTCCATGATTTTCATTTGTTGAAGATGCTTAATATGAAATCATTTCAATAAATAAATCATTTTAAACGATCCGTAAGGTTAATAAAACCATTTAAATGCATGATGGAATGAGGACAAATGAATAAACGGGCTAAAAAATATTTTATAAACTTGTTAAGCTGTGTTAAAGGGTCTTTAATTCTAAACCAACACAAAAATTAATCAATATTTTATTTCAAATTTGAATGTAAAAAAATGCAATTCTCTATAATGGCGATTTTATTCAATGGCTAGGGCAATTTCTTTTTAGGTCCATTTTACATTATGCGTTCCAATCGTCGTTACCGCAACGGTTGCGTTCCGACGACAGGACGGCTAGTGTAAACACAGTGTTTGGCAAAAGTATTATATAAACATCAGTTCACTAAAAGATTTAATCACACATTGAGGCAACATAATTAAATTAAACTTTACAATATAAACATAACTTGGATACATAAACAGTGAGATGTATCGACCTTTGTTTTAGTCTCTAAAAGCAAACTACATCCCAGTCTGTTCACAAAGCATAGCGTAAATGAACCCATTACCCTCTATTGTTATACTACAATCGTTTACGTAATGTTTATTAATTATCTCTTACTTATATGACTCTTCAGTACTCCTGTCGTAAGGCATAAGGCGCTAATCATAAGAGCTGGTAAAATGCATTCATTTTAATAATTACATATTGACTAAAAGTTCTATTAAAACTATGCATGTCATGTTCTACTACTCGTATTATATTTAAATACATCACATAAATGCGTTAAACGTTTTTTTATGATTCCACAAATTCCAATGTGCAAAATATATTTTCTATTTATTAATAACTTAATTTTTTAAATAGAGAACATTAATTTACCTAACTTTTGCTACTAAAATATTTATGGTTATTTTTTCAATTCGCCTACTTACTTATTACTTTTTTTTTAATAACTTTATTCATCTTATTACTTTAGCTAATTTGGCACTATAGTCTGTTTTGGCTATGAGGTGCATCACTATTTCTTTCACTGTAGGTACACTCGGCTGTCTTCGGGCATCATCGGCAGAGCTCAGTGTCGTCATCGCGCGCGACGCATGGCGCGTCTGGAGCCGCTAGGAATAGTTTCCCCGTTGCACACGCACATAGCTGGTACACTTTCATGCCTCTTATATTTTTATTAGGCTTGTCAGTCCTCACAGCTTCTTTCAAATTATTGATAACTATATTTTGAGCGTTTAGTTTAATCTGAAACCACGCGACATTATTAAAATTATGAAATTGTTTTTATTGATTAATATATCCAATTGAATCAACTTACGTTACCGACGACAGAATCTAATTTGATGTTCCCATGTGAAGTTATTTGTATATTTCCTGCTCTGCTATCAATAAATATGTTTTCTGGTGCCCTTAAGTCCAACCGTCTTGTCAGAGATTCCAAACTGGAAAATATACAAGAAATAATGTTAGACAAAGACGACGTTAGTATAAGTTAGCTAAAAGTTCATAAAAACTTACTGTAAGTCGAAGGCTGGTGGTGCGCGTACAACAGGCACTTGAACGGAAGTCTTCACATTGACACCGCCAGGTCCATCAACGGCTAGTGCATCAGAGAATATCCGCACTTCGTCCCTGGACGCAGAGAACACAGGACTGCCTCGTGCATCATTCACATGTAATGCACGACCAGTGAACTCAAGGTTATCACGCTCTGAAAATCAGAAATAAATTGTTGACCAACAATTCACGATTTAACTGCCGCAACTTCAGTTACATACGAATGAGAACTGCTTCAACTGACGCTTGCGGAAGTTTTGTTTCGTAGCAGACTGTAGGGTCTGACTAAGAGATCCTTTTGTAAATGTAAATTATGAATATGGTTGAAAAAGAATCCCCAAACGATTATACACTTTTCTATATACACATAGGCAGACAGCATACACCACCTAATCGGCGTCGGGGATCAAGAGATGATCTCCGGCCATCATCCGGCGAGTAAGAGTGGCTCGCCGCCCCATCAGAATGAGACCCTCGAAAGAGCCAATGAACCACCACAGACGGGGCCCTATTGGGCTATGTTCACCGCGGCCTAAGCCCGAAACAGGAGAAGGAACAGGGGGGTTTTTAGTCGGTCAGAGTCTGACACTCTCTCTCGCTTTACCATGGGTGGGAGAAGTCATTTGATGATTTTCCCCTGACAAAAAAAAAGACCCAATAAGATCCAGCAAAATTATGTAAAAAAATTAAAATTGGTTTAAGAATAATGTTTACTGATGAATAGCTTGGAATAATTCGGTTGGTCCGGTTCTGCAACCAAAACAGTGAAGTTGCGATGTGAGTGGATGGCGATGGGTTGAGCCGTTTGTGAGGTGATGGTAGACGCCACCAGGTTGTCTAGCACCCAAGTCTGACCGTCCACATGGATGCCTCCTCTCACTATTCTTATGGGTCCAACACCATTCTGAAACATGAAAGGATTCAGTTATAAAATTTATATAAATATAATAATTTGTTTCGTAGTTTTAATGTTAATGGAAACATATTTTTATCTCTAACAATAGCTTTTGAAATAAAACAATAGATTGCAGTGTAATTTGTCGTATTTTTCTCTCTTTATCGGGAAATAGGAAAATGATTGGGTCTCCTCAAATCCAACACTACCAACCAGCTATTAAAAGACAACGCACTGGCGTTGCCCTGTTGCTTGTAATTATAACTTTATGAGATGTTATTTGTTATTTCGATTAGGTAAAAAGGTAAGAAAGCGTAATTGAAAAGTACCTTACTTACTTAGTTACATTTATAATTTAATAATATTTGTATAAAACTCACCATAGTCAACTTTAAAGCACCAATAATCCACAACGTGAGACCAATGTTAAGGAATATGAGCAGCATTAGGAAGATCAGAATACTGTACAAGGTGGTTCTTCTCCAGCCTGTGGTGAATGTTGAAGGTAAGCAGCCTTTTGAGGAGTTGTTTTCGGAGGTGGAAGTTGCTGGTGGATGGTCCCCGGTGGGAGTGCAACCCCATCCATGTATGACATTCGTGCCAGTATCCTCTACACTCATGTTTTTGTTCTTTGATATTTTTTGTTACGATCTGCTATGAATCTGTAACAATGTTATGTAGGCAATTAGGTATTAGTGAAGTTATTAAAAAATATTTTTAGTTTTTTAGTTTTTTTAGGGTATGTTAACAAACATACAAGTTAACACACAAACACCCAGACTCGAAACAACATTTCAATTGTTCTCCTAAAATAAACAAAGTATTGCTTAATTTTAAGTTCTAGGTAGTAGTGACTAAAACTGAAACTAGTAGAGCTTTTCTAGTTTATTCCTGTGAATCAGACATTATTTATAATAAATTTTGTTTACCTCACGATACACGAAATTACACAAAAATAGTAAACATTTGTCTAGTACAAAATTCTCTATCTGCTGCAAGAATCCCAGAATATCGCAGTATTTATTGTAGATTTTATAGCAGTTTTAGTACAAACCGCAGCAGGAGACGTCTAAAATCGATATGTCATGTAGGACTTATGCAAGTGTTGGGCCCAGGGGCCCGGGATTGCCACCTGCACCCCGGCTTTGTTTTACGACTATGCTGAACTTGCAAAATAACATCAATAATTCCAAACTTCTGAGTTCTACTTGAAACCTTGTGGATTTGGCTTTTGTTTTCATTAACAAACTTAATTAAGTCAGCGATGAATAATTATCGCTATCAAATAAGGTTTCTCATTAATACTAACTAGTCAATTAACCCTCACTAATCTCTACATGCAGTTGCAATAGCTACGTTTATATATGTTAGTTGTACATTAACTCCAGTTTATACCTTGCTACAGTTTGCAAAATAAGAACTGAGTATACACATGTGCTTGTTGTATTTCGTTGCCTCTCCTATTTACAATACATTCTCTACAGCGTGATTTTTCAATTAGTTGGCTTGTAATTGAATGAAAAACAAGGTAGGAGCGAGACAAAAGTTGCAGATAAAGCGCACAGTACTAATGAACGGCGCACAACGAGCACCCACTAATGAGTATAACACTGGAGCTTTTCGAAAAACATCCATTAAGTAGGCCGAATGTTGTTATTAACTGTGCACTGAAATCTACACAGTTCATTTACTAGATTGTGAAGAAGACTGTTTAAGATTTATACTGGTTTCTTAGAAAAAATAAGGGTTTACATTTTTGCTTTTCTGCTGATGGTTGCGTAGGTCTGTAGATGCCTACACAGAGCGCGTACCTAGATAAGTACATAATACACCTTTTTTATAGTTATTCTGCATAATAGTGGTTCTTGACGACACTTGAGTGATGTGTTTGAGATATTTGTATTTGAAGATGTCTGTGAAGTCTTTTAATCATGGCAGACTCATGCTTCGGCACGAAAAGGCTGGTTTGATCGGAGTGCCATCAGGTCCCATTCTTTCACTAAATAAATGATTGCCAATCGTCAAGCCCCGTGCTTCCTTATCATTAAAAGTCCCCCAAAACACATTAGTTGACATAAAACGCATCAGTGTTGTTGATGTCCATGGGCGATGCTGATTGCTTGTCAACTTTAATCCGTGTGCAAGTTTGTGAAAAAAGTGTTTGCTACTGCAATCACAATTTAACATATTTTTGTTTTGACGGGGTAAGTAGATTCTTATTACCTATAAACCACCCCTTTCCTTCTTCTCTGGTCCGAGCTGGGACCGCGATAATTGATTATTCTTGGACTCGCATCCCTGATGCTCCCAAAGATCAATCAACCACGACTGTAAATCCAAAAGGCCCAATTGTCAGGTGATGCAAACTTTTTAAAGGCGCTTTGAAATTGGGTCCTGGATTTTATGTGTGTGTGACCAATATAGATATGCTCGTCTGCTCTCTTCTTTTATTAGAAAACTTAATATTCCGTATGTGTTTTGTTTTAATATTGGATAATCACCAGTATAAAATGAGACAAGTATGTAGGTAAAGATTGTGCAAAATAGTGTGTAAAAGTATCGAGTCAATTAAAGTGGCAGACGAAGGTACTATTGTCTATTTTTGTCGAGTTCCCTGCACTCTGGTTATATTAAACCTCTTTCGTAGATTGTGATACAAACTAGATGCATAAAATGTTGACCTTATTTGTCTCATTTAAAATCTAAGTGCTTTTAAAAGTTAGCTGACGTTGTTGCATTGAATGCATGGACATTTGGCAGCTCAAAACTGATCGTGCGATTATAGTTTCCTTCATGGTAAACCGGTGGAGGGGAATCATCCGCTCCAGATGTTACCCCGATGCTGACCGCGATCCTCAGACATGCCCTTGGACGGCAACTGTAGAAGAGTTTCGATTGCGTTACCAGCCTTTTCGGAGCTGTTGGTGGTTCAAGGACCTTTTTAATGGTGAATCTACCCCTCGGTTCGGACGACAGGAGTGTTGAACTCTTACAAATTAAAAATCATGTCATTCATTCTTCTGCTTCGATTTGGGGCCGCGTCACATTCTGGCTCTTACAGCATACAACAAGAGCTCTTACAATCTCGAGAAGGGCTAGACTTACCAATTGAGTTACCGCTTTTTTGTTAGCGATAATAGTATAAAAAAGTCAGTTTTCACCAAAGAAACCAGAACTACGTAATTTAGCTTTTATTCTTCGCTATCATCATTGAAAAATATATTTAAAAAGAGAAAGCTTATAAATGAAAATTAACGTTGTTGTAATTAATTTTATTTGTATCGTGATCGATAGGAAAATAATTAAATGTACAGTGACAGATGACAATATTTACTCGTGTTTACTCCAAATTACATATTGATCCATTTAAAATGGTTAATAAGGTAATCCATTAAAGTTTATGTAACGAGTTTTAATTCAATTGCCACTTTACAGTCGGGTGGTTGTAAGCGCTTTTTCTTTGGAATCTCTTGTAAGAAAGAAGAAGGTGTGTGTAAAGTGTTCATGATTTTATTAATTTTCCAAAATTCTTAATAGCATAATTTCGCAGTGTTATTCTGTAAAACTTCATTCTAAATTTCGAATCTGAATCCGCTGTGAGTAGTAATAGTACACTAACGCTACACTTGCGAGTCGAATTATATTGACCGCAATACTTTGATGGATAAAGTATGAGATGCTGTCAAAAGTGGCATTCTAAAATGTAATTTTCCCGTCACTTCAGTTAAAGTGTGGGAGAGTCAAGCTTCGGCACGAATGGATCGGCTCGACCGGAGTGATACCACGGCCTCACAGAAAACCTACGTGAAACAACCATAGCGTTGTGTTTCGCCGTGTGAGTGAGGTTACCGGAGGCCCAATCTTTCCCCTCCCCCGATCCCTTCCCAATCCCTTAATCTCCAAAAACCTAATACCTAAAAGGTCGACAATGAACTCGTAACTCCTCCGTTGCGGTTGCCCATGGGCGGCGCTGATTACTTATCATCAGGTAATCCGTCTGCTCGTTTTTCGACCTATTACATAAAAAAAACTTAAACGCTCACTTCACACTAGAACAAGATTCAAAATCAAAAACAATAATAATAGAATCGGCGTGCTGGAAGTATTTGTGCTCTAAATAATGCTCTCAATTACTTACTTTTTAAATATTAATGATGACGGATCAAAAATATTAGCTTAAAGTCGTTCAGTCGGGGTCGCAAGTACAAGCGCAGTAATGTACCGCGGTCCCCACCCTGGAGCAGAAGAAGGAACGGGGTGGGTTATAGTCAGTAAGAGTCTGACACTCCCTCACGACCCACCAGGATGGGAGAAGTCATTTGATGATTTTTCCTCTTTCAAAAAAGAGGTTAAAAATGTGGTCAAAAAGAATTTCCATTCAATAATAATTAAACCATCTTCTGTGATATAACTAAAAGCATATATTTTAGGTGAAACTATAAATCAATAAAATTATTCAGGTCATCGTAAACAACCGAGTTTTAGATGCGGTATGTAGGTACTTTGTACTATCTTTGTGAATCGATCTTGATCTTGGCTATGAATAGAACTGTGATACTACTCTCTGGTAACTCGACTATGAATTCACGAAGCTCATAGTAACGGCAATGCCCATTTTTCTGTACTTTTAATTTCTTAGTAATAGGGAATTAATCTATGCCATAATATAGATATTTTTTAAATCTACGACAATAATTTTGAAAATCGAATTATTGAAATAATATTTAACCGAGCATTGATCCCGAGGCCCTGAAGTTGCTAGTAGCACTTGAAATCATTTGCATCGTACCATTTCATTGATAGCTTGGTTGGCTCGCGGATTCTATTCCTGCACGGATCTATTCTTTATGTGGTCCGCAAACTGCTGTCGTGGGCGTCAGATGCGACGTGTGTTTGTGAATTTGTATATTATCTACTCTCTAACTACTCTATGGTCACCCGATGGTCTATTCGATCGTAGTGTGATCATTAATAACATATTCAGGAATATTGTAGCTACCTGTCAGTGAAAGAATTTTGGCAATCCGACCTGCGGTTTCAAAGATTACTACATACAAACTTACAAATTTTACCTATTTATAATATTAGTATAGAAGTATAGTATTTGCAACCATGACACAAGGTCATATCTTAGTATCATAGGTACTTTTAAAGTACTTAAACATTCTTGCAGTTATATCACGGAGTAGGTACTTATAGTAAGAATATTCGTTTGAATTGAGTTTATATTAACTGGGAATCTTTCCAAAGAGTAGTTCCGGTCCACTTGCATCAAATGGTTTCTCTGCTCCGTTTATAATTTATAAGCTATGCCCGAAGAGCTCGAGGTCAGCTGTCTGTTCGATACGGAATGTGGTTCAGAGGTGATTATGAAACTAAATCTTCATTTTAGCTTTATTATCTGAGTATTCAGTTTATTGGAAGTTAAGATTTTGGTGATGTGCTGTGTTGTAGATAAGAGCCTTTGCACGTTGACCCAATAAAAATATATCAATATAACAAATGAGTTTATCAGATCTCAAGATTAAAACAGTCATAGTATAAAATCACTCTATGGATATAAAACAATATAAAGCATCTCTTTTTGTAATATATGTAAAAGTTACACTTTCAGCGTATTTGTCAAGATGTATATAGATACCTATCTCTCGATATTTAGCATGGTGTATACTTAAACAATGGACTTGGAATCCCGCTGTGTACTAAAATAAAGAATCAATACTGAATACAACTGTAAAGTTATTAAGTTCTTAAGAAGCTGCAGTCTGTACAGTTGTTACTCCAAATAAGGGAACAATAACTTTATGAATCTCGTATATAAATAGTTAAACGAATTGATTATGCGCTACCCCGCCTCTCTGACCCCATTTACGTTTTTAGTTTAAAATGAACCAACAAATGCGTTCACAATATAATTATGATAGACTAAAACTAAGAAATGCACTCCTGTTCTACATTCTGTATGACTGAACATTATAATTTGATTTCGAATTTTTACTGTTGTTCAAACTAAATTTATATTGCAGACGTTATTACTATATTATGCGCTCTAGTACTTCCGAGCTCTTTGAAGTTTATACAGGAATTTCTTTGATGTAATATTATGTATTAATTTAATTAAGAAATACATGAAGTGCGCTTTAGCACTAATAGATTCTTGCTGTGAATTAATTTTATGAATGTAAACTATATAAGTGTTATTAATTTTAACGTGTGGTGGTAGCTATTCTTCCTAATATACAATCTGTAAGTATCCATAAATAATGAATAATGCTAATATTTGCAGAGACGGCATCATTGTGGAAAAAACATTCAATTTTAACTTAATAATTCATATAAGATTGCGTAAACACACAATAAGAATGTGTTATTTGGATCACTATTATTTTAAACCCAAACAAAATAATTTTATACTGGTGTGTCGTATGTTTGTGTTTATAAAAATCTGCTGAAAGAAACACTTTCTCTTGTTCCTTCCTTTTTTTTTCTCTGGTGTCTACGTAACTCATTGTATCATCTATTTTATGTGTTTGTTCGTGCCATAGTAACTCCTTCCATATCGTGGCTAGTCTAGTGCGTTGTTAGATCTATGTCACGTCATAGCTTGCCTTGTACAAGCTTTTCACCGTACAATAGGCCACTCTAGTTGAGAATGTTCATTCCTTTATAGTCTTACTAAACACGTGATATAGGCATCTACGGTTTGTGATACGAATATAAAACTAAGGGATAAATAATAATCTAATTATGCAGCTAATGTCATTTGTCATTTACTTCTGAATATATAAATGCATGTGCACCTGCTAGAGTGTAAAATATAAATGTTACCAAAAGTAATTAACATGTTTCGAAATGTTAACTTACTTTTGGTTCATGTGTAAAATAAAGCTACAAATTATTTATAAACGAACTCGTTAAATTAATGGCTATTTGGGATTGTGTAAAATAAAAACATCCCGCGTAGTCAGACATACCGTAGTCTCGTCGACCGCTGTGGTTAACGCCTGGCATCGAGTATGCAAATTGTATGATAGCTGTGTTTTACGCACTTAATTAAACACATGAAGCACACAGCTAATGAACTTTATTTTAACGTTAACTTTTTCACTATTTCATTTGCTGTCGGGCCATTAAAAGCATAACTTTAGCAAACATAACTGTGTACGCTAAACTGCAATATTTCCGGGAACGGTCTCAGAGCAAACAATATCGTTTATATTAATTGAGCGATGCGGCCGGCTGCACCGGGCGTGTGCTGTGACTGAGACTAGGTAAATTCATAGGTGGTGGAAGCAGCACTCGAAATATCTGGCGCGAAGCGAGGTGAGGCGGCGTGCTCCAGAATATAATATCAGGCGGTGGAGTGGCCTGCGCTCGGCGCTCGCCCTCAGTGCGCCCAAGCCGCCGTCGCCGTCGGCCCTCATAATAAACGATATAGTGCGAAAATAGAAGCGGAACGAGTATCGCTGTGCTCTCCACGTAAATAAAATACCGACGTTTGCAGCGTTCCTGTCTCTAGCTGGCCGCGTTTCTGTTTTATGAATGTCAGTAGGTACCAGCACGGCGATCGATCTGACGCCGATGGTTTAAAAATAAATGGCGCGCTTTATCCCACGTCAACGGGAGAATTTGTAAACTAAGCAAATTGGCTTTTGTGTCACATGTTCGTTGACAAGTTTCAACGTCTACACGGTTTAACACTGTGGTTTTAATGCACTTTTCAGATTTACCTCAGTTCGGACGATGTAATTATGAGCATCACATTTGGAGCCGTCACACGACACAACAACTGCATCAAGCACAACACACAGACACAAGTAGCGGGCGTGTGAGCGAGCTGTCTGCTCCAGCGTCATAACAACACTGGCATGCGCGAGCGACGCCGCTGCCGAATCCAGCTCGTTTTGAAGTGTTGCATTTTTAATCGGGCGCCTGTCTCGCGCGGGACATAACTCGACAACGCTCTGGATACAGCTGGGCTCCTCTCTATTACCAAGTCTAGTTAACGTTAACGTGTCATTAACTGACACGTTCATATAAACTTGTAAATAATTAAAGCGGACACGACCCTGACAACAGTAATTACCTCTGTGATACCTTCCTCGTACCGCGCCGCCGCCGCCGCCGGTCTAACGTTCTTGAGATATGACTATTGAATTTGGAATATGGCAGGTTCTTCGGTTTGTGTGTTGTGTCGTGTTTAGATGCTCGTTAATTATTCATTCATTTCCTTGTTCAAAACGTGAAGATTGCTATATGCGGAGTTTAGGAAAGAGAGATTCATGAACCTTTTATACCACAGTAGCAGTAACATTTGTTTTGTTTTAAACTGGCCAATACAAACATTTGGAATAAAGAATTCGTAAACACATTTTGATAGTCAAAACTTTATGTAGGTATATTTACTTTTACGATCACGACCGTCACACACCACTGTCTGCCTTCCAATATAAAAGAGAATTCAAATACTGCTTAGGTTCGACATAAAAGTTTACGTGTCCATAACAAAGTAGCGAGCGAATAATAATCCGGAATATTTCATGTCCTTTTTTTGGGGATTTTTGAAAACAGCGATGAAATCATATTGGATGTCACTGAATGTTTTCATGGAACTTTTATTGAGCTGATAAATGTCAGCCCCGAGGGACACCCACGCCGGCACTTTTTAGATAAGTATAAGAGAAAAGGAAAATGTTAGTGAAGTTCCCAGATTGTTTTTTGATAAAGAATACGACGGACGGAACGTACCTGATGTGTTGCTTCTCTGATTTGTAGACATATCAAAGTATAGCACAATTTATTCATAGTTGCGTTCGATGCTATAAAAACTGTTCGGTTTTCAAATGTTTGTTAGTGAGATGTTTGAAAAAGAGAGCAGCAAGTACGATTTGTTTCCGAGCCGCTTAATTCAGGCCCCGCTCCCACTCGATCCTGTTTTAGGAAACAATCCCCGTGATCCCCGCGTGATGCTGCATAATGTCGCCGCTCCCCGAGACCCCGGACCTACAAGCTATTATCAATTTAAATAAAAGTGCGCTCCACGACACAGTTAGAAAGAAGAAAAAATATTTAAAAAGCGTACCATCATGTAATGCTACCTTATTTTAGAACATCTTCTTTTCAGTGTTTTATCGGATCATTTTATCTTTTTTGTACATTGTTTTCATCAGTTTAACATGGTAAATATAAAAGCTATTGGTAAATAGTTATTTACCATCATTACCATGAAAAGCAGGTAATTTAATTAATATATCATAAAAAATAACAGTGAGTAAAACTGAATGAATAACTTTTTGACAATAACGAGGAATTTAATAAAATAAAACAATTATAATTTAGTAGCTAATTTTATTATTTATTTGAACAATATGTCGCTGAAACTGAATAGTAACGGTTCATGACAAAGAATATCGGCCTCGAATTGGGTAGTAGCGTGAGCGGTGAGGCCGCGGTGAGGCTGCGGTGAGACGACAGCGGCGGAGCGGCGACGTTGCGTCCGAAGCCAAAGTTCTCCATCATACCTGCGTCACTTGAAAATTGAAAAACTTTCGCAATGCCTTTCTTATGGAAATAGTTCGCGTTTACATTTGAGTGAGTTGTCATTGTAGGGATTCAGCGCGCTGTCTTATTGAAATAATAGTTGACTATAAGACTGTATTACTTGGATGTAGTTGGCAAATCGCGAAGTTTTCAACGGCGATAAATTAAACCGGGGGTGTTTATTGCTCACTTTGCAATCAAAAGCTGCGTAGATATTTTAAGGATAGCAAAATGCAAAGCATCGCGATAGCTGGTGTAAATCCGCATGAAATATTGATACAGTTTCGTGTAAACGTGTAACAAATGCGGTAATTTAAGCCACCTGCCGGCGCGCCGCGCGGTGCCCGCTCCGCTCCGCTCGCTCTGCTATGCACCACTTTTGAACTGCTTACCTCATATTGCTGCGATTTTACGTTGATGCTATTTTTGTTCGAGCTATTGATTTTTGCACAATGATAATAGACACCATTATTGCCGCCATTGTCAGCGAAACAGTCAACGAAAAATGTGTAGATACGTAACGTATGAAGTACTTTGAAGTTGTTTATGTATTTAACATTTTAATTGACAATTGATCTCAAGTGTTAAACTTAGAGACACTCGTATTGGGTCCGTAAATTTAGGTAAAATTTTTGATCGTTTATTTTTGTCTATAAGTGGGAAACCAGACCACCACCAGAGTACACTGGCAATACAAGAGGACTTACGTTTTTATTTCTAAAGTATTGTAAAAAAAAAGTCCTGTCGGGTATGTTGTATTTATCTGATTTTTTTTTTCTGGTGTTACTATTCGCCCAACTGAAATATTAATCGAATCCAAAATCACACGACGGACGTTTAATTTTAGAACTCAGAAGACACACATTTACAGAACATATTTGGACATACCTAGGAATTAAGGTAGTCTTAGTTTAAGTTAATGAATAATCGGAATTAATCATTTAGCTGCTGACGGCGACATGTGCTGCATCGTGCTTGCAATGTGATGCTCATGAATATGAACCCCTAGTGTTTCTTGAAACTAGTCGAGTACCTTGTCGAAGAGTTACGTGAGTACAGCGTTACAAGTACCTAACAAAACAGTAATCTATAATAAAAAAAAACATTAGAGTTTTGTTGTGAGTGCGAGGCTCAATCCCTAAATATCCGGAATCCTAACCCCAAAAAGGTCGGCAACGAACTCGTACATTCTGGTGTTACGGGTATCCATAGGCGGTGCCGATTGTTTACCATCAGCTAATCCGACAGCTCGTTTCAGACCTATTACATAAAAAAACTGAAATAACCAATTTTATGAAAATTATAAACAGTTTATCACATAATTAGTATTACGAGTTCAAGTTATTTTTTGTAAATAAATAAATCAACCAAAATTTAAGAAAATGTTGCGCGTCCCCTGATGTCTCTTTGTAGATGTAGAACATGCCAATAATATAGTTTTATTTCTCAACAATCAACTTTTATCCTCATTAAACACTACAGTATAAGATTCACAGCATAAAACAATTATAGGTAAGTAAAAATATCAACACAAGTGTAGGACAATATTTTCCGAGACTGTACACAATGGTGTCCGGACTTAGGGTCCTTACACCTCTTATATTTGTTCACCATCTACTCCTATTTGAGTGTACACGGACCGGTTTCCCTGTTGATTTAGGTTCGATACCCGGCAATGAGAACTCTTTAGCTAATATTTCCGGTTCATTAGCCCCTCACTGTAATTTGATTAAGCTATAGTTTCTTTGGGAATAAGAATGTTATTTTGAAGGTAGACATAACTTTTTTGTTTTGTCGAAATCTCTGTTTATATTACTGAAGTAAAAAAGAGGTGAGTTTGTAAATAAAATTAAAAAAAAAAACTTAAGGAAGGTATAACTTTTTGCTTTTAAAAATAGAAGTAGAAATACGTCATACGTGTATCAAGTATTTTGATATCTCAGTAATAAATAAGGGTGGCGCAAGGCGGAGTCAGTCGGAGAGTCCACTGGTAATGGTGCAATCATCTAATGAATGCTTCCGGCCAGATAAGCTTCGATTAAATGGTCTCTTTATTGCTAAAGGAAAGGCGCGTTCCCTTTATGCGCCATTGAGATATCTATTTTAGTACAAAGATACGAGAAATATGATACGATTTAAAAATACATTGCCAATACGAATGGTATCGTGTTGATATTGGCTTGTTTATTGTGGAGAAGAAATTGATATTGCATGTTGTGTACAGATTTTATTTCTTTTATATGTGAAAGAAATTCGCCCACCATATACATATTCGGAGATATGTTTCGTGTTTTTATAAATATTCAATTACATAATTATAAGTTCTGTAGTAAATGCGCGATCGCGATTAGATTCAAGATAGTAGACAACCATAGATATGCGTGTACGTGTGGGTTACTCTACAATTTATTGCTTGCATATCCTTTCAGCGGGTAGATAATGACCGCAGTAAAACGTTTAAGCACGGAATAACTGCTGCTGGAAGCCGTTATTACAATATTATGAATGGCTTCCCTCGCACCTCGCGCCGCTTCTCAAATACTACGCGATCGTAGACCCATCAGGGTCAACTATTTCCGAGTATTTCGTAGCAACGTCGTAGGCATTCGTAGCAGTGCTACGAAATTAGTATTGTATTAAAATAGACGAAAATATTATGAATTGTTGGAAAAGTTGTTTCTACTTTAGAATATTTTTATTTATCAAAAA